CAAAGTACACAGGCTGCTTTAATCTAGCAGTCCCTTCCACAATTCAGTGTCTCTTAGCGGCTGTCATTTGCTCACCCGCAATTAAAAAAACTCAAAGTCAACGATACACCAAATAGGACCCAGGCTCCCTGTGTATTTTCCATCTCTACATTGATTAGCCTTTTTGTATTATTTCATTCTCTCTTTATAGACTTTATTATTTACAAACTACTTATTTTTTTCTATGACTGTCTATACCCATTTCCTGTTCAACACACTGTAACCTGTTTAGAGGTTTTCTTCTTTTTCTTTTTTTGGTCTGGATCTGTTTTACTGAGCACCTGCAGTGTTTTCTGACCATGTGAGAGAAATCTTAAATGCTATGTCAGCCACAGTGTGACCCAGCATAGCACATAGCACTGGTAGCTGGCCTCTGTGTCTCTGTGTACTTTCCCAAGAGACCATGGCCATCTGGAAGCCACATTTGACTCCATGTTCAGAACTTTTTGTTGTTTTAGTTTCTTTTTTAAAGCTTTCTCAGGCCATACATGGCTATGCATGGTGGGACATTGAGCTCCTTATGTGGAAGACTTGTGTGGAGTGCCAGCCCCCAAATCAAGACACAGAGACAAATTATCAAGGTTTGACCTTAGCTTAGGCTCATTTCTAGCTAACTCATTTAACCAGCTTAACTAACTTCAACTCATTTCTGTTAATCTACATGGTGTTATGTGGCTTGTGGCTTTTGCCTCTTCTCCTGCATGTCCAGTTTGTTCTGTGTCCAGGTAGCCACCCTCCTTTCTTCTCTGTCCCCAGAAGTCCTGCCTAACCTCTTCCTGCATAGCCATTGGCCACTTGGCTCTTCATTAAACAATCACAGTGATGCATCTGCACATGGTGTAAAGGAATATTCCACAACAGAGAAGCAGGTAGATCTCTGTGAATTTGAGGTCAGCCGGTCTAATAGTGACAAGACTATATAAACAAACAAACAAACAAAACAACAAAACAAACAACAAAAAAGAGTTTATAAAGGATACCTCCCTTTCAATTGTTTGGAATTACTTGCAATCTTTAAGGTTAATTATTTTTTAAAGTTTTGGTAAAGTCAGCAGTTAAGCCATTTGGCCTTGGGCTTTTGTTAGGAGACCTCATTATTGACTTGGTCTTGTTATTGATTTGTTCAAGTTTTTCCACTGTCCTGATGGTTTATATGGCCTTCCAAATGGTTGGTATCTAGTTGTTTACAACAGTCTGTAGTGGTCATGTGTGTCTCCATGGTATCAACTATAATGTCTCATTTTACACTTCAAATTAGTGTGTGTGTGTGTGTGTGTGTGTGTGTGTGTGTGTGTGTTTGTGTGTGTGTATGGTATTTTGAGACAGGGTTTCTCTGTGTAACCCTGGCTGTCCTGAAACTCACTTTGTAGGCCAGGCTGGCCTTGAAGTCACAGAGATCCACCTGCCTCTGCAGCCCTAATACTGGTATTAAAGGCATGTGCCACCACACCTGACACTCAAACCTATTTTAATTATATTTTATGCTTTTCAGTCTACTTCATTTGTTTTTTTTTGTGATTTTTTTAAACTTATTTTCATGTGTCTATTTTGGTTTTGTTGGTTTGTTTTGTTTTTGCTTTATTTATTTTTCAAGTGCGTCGTAAGGTCATTTATTTAAAGCCCTCTCTCTATTTTACCTAAACACTTGAGAACTTCCTCCTTAGTACTGGTTTTACTAGGTTTCATATGCTGTGTTCTCACTTTCTTTTGTATTTAAGAATTTATTTTATTTTCCTTTTGATTTCCTCATGAGTCATTCAAGAAAGTGTTGCCTGTGCAGAGAGTTTTGGAGCACTGGGTTTTAACTGAGATGCTGTTGTCATCAAATCCCTTCCCTCAAGGTTCAGGGGCCTATGAAGAAGAGAGGACTTAAAGATGATGAGGGTAACAGGCGGTAGGACTCCAGATCTGATGCACATATGAACTCACAGATACTGTGGTGGCCTGTATAGGAGCACAGGGTTTTAAACCAGGTGGGGTTCCAGCCCTGAGAGGGGGCAGTAGACACAGGATCCTACCCCTAACTAAGAAGCTATTTGCAACAGATGCCAGCAGGCAAAGGGAAAATCAGTTTTCTCCAGTGGAGAATCCCTGGGTGTACCAATCACATTCTAAGGCGGGACCCATGCCCTGGAGTAACTGGCCAATACAAACCAAACTCAATGGTTTTTGTGGGCTTTTTGTTTCATTTTGATTTGTATGGGCATTTTCAATTTTTGCCTTGGTGTTTCTTGTTGCTGTTCGGTTTTAATTTTTTTTCTTTTTGAAAGGGAGAGAAGAAACACTAAACTGGGTGGGTAGACAGGTGGAAAGAAGGAAATTGAGAGAAGGAAAACATGATCAAAATATAACGTATACAATTTTTTAAAATAAAAAGTAGAGCACGCCTTTAACCCCAGCACTCAGGAGGCAGAGGCAGAGGCAGGCAGATCTCTGTGAGTTCAAGACCAGCCTGGTCTACAAGAGCTAGTTCCATGAAAGCCTCCAAAGTTACAGAGAAACCCTGTCTCGAAACCTCCCCCTCCCCCCAAATAATAGAGAAAAAGAAAGTGTCCTTTTATTTTTCCATGGTTGTGTAATTTCTATAACTCCTCTTATTGGCTTCTAGTTTCATTTCATAAGGTCAGGGTGGATTATGCTATTTTTTTTTACAAATAATTTATTTTATGTGTATGGGTTGTTCTGCCTTGCCTGTATGTGTGTCTGTGTGTGCCTGATATCTGTGGAGGCTGGAAGAGGATGCTGGAACCCGTGAACTGGAGTTACAGACGGTTGTGAGCTGCCTGGGAATTGAACTTGTGTTCTCTGGAAAAGCAGCTAGTGCTCTTAACTGCTGAGCCATCTCTCCAGCTCCTTGTGCTATGAATTTTAGTTTTTGAAACTTTGAGACTATTTTATAAGTTAGGATGACATCTCTCAGGAGAAAATTGCACATCTGGGGAGGAGGGGGCTCTTCCCTGCAGCTGTTGGCAGAAGTGGTCTCCGTGTCTGTTTGATCTATTTGGTCTATAATATGACTCTGAAGTTTTTGGGTTTTATCTTGTCTGATTAATCTTTTTTTAACAGATTTTTAAAAAGGATCATATTTATTTATTATGTATACAGTGTTCTGCCTGATGTATGCCTGCAGGCCAGAAGAGGGCACCAGATCTCATAACAGATGGTTGTGAGCCACCATGTGGTTGCTGGGAATTGAACTCAGGACCTCTGGAAGAAGAGCCAGTGCTCTTAACCTCTGCGCCGTCTCTCCAGCCCTTGTCTGATTAATCTTACATTGACGAATACACACTTTCAAAGACCTCAGCCATTGCTGTGTTAGCATTTCTCTTTCCTTTTAGATCTAATAATTTTTGCTTCCTATAGAAGGGTTCTTTTAGTAGGTGCACACACAGTTACAATTTTTGTTTCTGTTATGGAGTTTATTCCTTTGTCGTTGTAAAATGGCATTCTTTGGCAATTTAGGACTAAAAGATATTTATCTTCCAGAAACTATTATCTGAATACCATGTGCGGGGCGAATTCTGTGAGTGGGCTTGGAAAACACAACTGCCGACTGATGTAAATATTTGGATTTGGTTTCTTCCTATGCTAGTAGTATACAGACTTCATGTTTAAAATGCCACCTTCCCCATCTCCTGGATTTGATTTCAGTCTTCCATGGTTTCCAGTGTCCCACACAGGAAAGGCTGTGCTTTGGGGTTGACTATGACTTCTCCTGGTTTTTTTTTTCTGATTCACTATGAAGACAGTGGTGCTTCCTCCCACTCCAGATAAATACTGAGACTCCGAACAACGGGTACCAGTTTCAGAATCATGCAGGCTCAGCATATAGTTGGGGTCAGAGGGAAGGGCATTTTCATATCCTCTTAGTTTGTCACCCTTGATGGAGAGCAGCTTCTCCCAGGTGTATAAAATGTGCTATTTCCTTCAGTGAAAGGGTAAGAGATGGTGTTGTATAGTTCAGGTTACATCGTTTCATCACTCAGGCCATGGAGTAAGAAAGGAAGAAGGACATATAGAATAAAGGGAGGTAAAAATCCCAGAGGTGAAATACAGAAGAAGAGAAATGGGGTAATTTAGGTTATAAAATCTGGCTAGAACAAGCCCATCTAAGGCAGGGGAATTCACAAGTAAGAATAAGACTCTGTGTATTTAGTTGGGAGCTGGGTGCAGGGCCCCCAAAGAGAAAAACAAAAACAAAAACAAAAACATTTTTTAAAAAACTGGTCTTTTCTTGTGGAGTTGGGGAAAGGGTTTTATGGATGCTTTGAAACCTGCAGTGGAATCCAGAACCAGGATCCAGAAGACCTTGGCTGCCGGCGGGTGGCGCGGCTTTCATACACATATTTAATTCTGCCTTCCAGGTTCTAAAATGAGACTCCTTGACAAGGCTGTTGGAAAGCCGACGTCATTCATGCACCACTGGAAAGCACATTGGGAGCTGGGAACCATGCGTTTGAGAATAGGAATGAGGCAGTGGGGATGGGGTCCTCAGAGCTGTCTATTCCCATCCTTAACAGCGGAGAAATTAAAACTCAGAAAGTGGCGTGACTCAGCCCAAGGCCGTACAGGCAGGCAGACTCATAATCAGAATAGCATCGGTCTCCCCAACAATATCAGAGTCTAAAAGACAGAGTGAGTCTTCAACTGCTTGAGAATCAGCTAACTGTAAACTCACCACCCAGCTTTCCATGTCGGGAGGGATTTTTAGCAGAGCAAAAGTGAGATGGAGGAGCAGAGGCTGCCATAGTGTGGGCTGGACACAGGGAACGCCTGAAGGCAGGTATTCCTGTTGGTAGGATTGGCGAGCAGTTTAAGGACCATGGAGTGTCATCTTACCTATCCCGAAGCGAGGCTCGGGGACGTGCCTTGCTCTGAGTACTCATTTAGTCTGAGTGATGAAACGATGGGTTATCCCCCTCAACTTCACTTCCTACTTTCCAGTCTTAATTACGGTTCAACAGCAGCTGTGGATACTTGTTGACACTCACTTACTGGAAAGACAATTTCCCCTGCCCACGAGGCATGAGATCCTTCTTGTCCCTGGAGTTTTACTTCGGCGAAGCCAGTGGTTATGCAATTGGCAATCGTTTGGATCACGATGTCCGGGGACTGACAATCCGTCCACGTACCCCTGCTGTCATCTTGAGCTCTGTGGACTTGGGTGACTGTAACTCAGATAAGGCGGAAGTCAAAGCGTTGTTTCCTGGTAACAGCAGGTGACGCTGTGCGGACCCGACAACCAGGATGGTGATGAGGTGAGGAGTCTCCAGATGGGAGGAACGATGCCGTAGCTCTGCTCAGCTGGCTGTGTTCTCGCTTTGCCCATCCAAATGTTTCCACGCTGTGTGCTCTGAGAACTTTCTCCATTATCAAGTTCACTGTTTTTTTTTAAAGCAGTTTCTTCAAGGGAAGTTTCATTACCTCTTTTTTTTTTTTTTGAAATGACAGACTCCATCTGTTTTTGTTGGCAACACTGGAGAACCAATTCCAGTACCCAATTAAAATTATGCGGGCTGATATTCAATAACATGTCATCAAACATTTCTTAAGAGTGTGCGCTATTTACATGGGGAGTTAAAAAAACTGAAGGTCTTTTGACAGTCACTGTCTGTACTTTCTAGAGTTTGTGTGAATGCATTCCATGTTCCCATTAAGTAATGTTTTGTGTGTGTGTGTGTGTGTGTGTGTGATAATTCATTGAAGAATTGTGCATAACAGGCAAGAGGTATGAATTCAAGTCCTTGCCATGTGCAGTGGGAAACAGTATCAGCTCACAGTGCTAACGTGTATTCACAGGCTAGCTTATGCCCTTGTATGAGACTGAAATTCTCTGTGTGTGTGTGTCTGATAGAGGATCTCATGTGGCCCAGGATGGCTTTGAAATACTGATTCTCTGGCCTTCATCCCCCAAGTCCCTACTGGACTCCTGCCATGTGCCATCATACCTGGCTTCCTCCCTTCCTTCCCCTTCCCCTTTCTCTCCCCCCCTTCCATTTTCTCCTTCTCTAGACAGAGTCTCACTCCAATTTAAAAAATTTCCTGTCTCTTCCTTTCTATGTGCTGGGATTGTGGAGTTGTGCTACCATACCTGGCTCAGTTTTGAAATTGTCGCCGTATCAAAGGATGTTTTGTCTCTTCGTGTGCTGAACTCTTGAACCTCTTCTCAGGATGGAATTCAACATAGTCTGAATTCATCTGCTTGAGGCCGGAGCCACGACTCACCACAATTAATTTTGTTTGAAATAAAACAGATTCTGGAAAAGGGAGCTTTTCAATGACAACGTGGTTGGATTTTTTCCTGGAAATAAAATCACCACACATACAGAATCTAGAAGGAGGGAGGGGGACAGAAAGTTGGAATAAGAAGAAAATGTGCTCTACTCTCAGGCTGTGGGAGGTAGAAACGAGAAGAGGCAAGAGAACCATTAAATACCATCATCTTGCTACCGGAGAATGACTGCCGGTGGCTGTGTATAACACCAAGAGGCATAGTCTTGCCTGGGCCATCAGTTGAGAGGTCTGAGGGCTCTGTGTATTCAAGTGACATGAACCAAGACAGTATAGCACCCGGCTATATTTCTGTCATCCTTTTGGAAAATTACTGATTGAATGAAACCAAGACAGTGGTGAATTATTAGGTTCATGATATTCATGTTTTCACGGGCTACTTGCATTTGCTTTTTATCGTCTGATCCTTACCTCTTTACCCGTTTCAAATGGATTATTTCCCCTTTGTACGGAAGCCTGGAATGAGCAGTCTAGGCAGTACGTCAGTTGCAGGGCTCTTGGGTTGCAAGCTTTTGGTGGGAGAATGGTCCCAGTTCTCCAGCCCCCCCTGGAGGAAACTCCATTGAGCTTAAGTGGCTGAACTACCTGGGCTTCTGCAGTGACTCAGTGTGACAAGATCAGCCCCAGTGGTAGGAGAGAATGAAGCCATGTGGCAGACATATCCTTTTAAGAAGAAACTTGTTAGGCGTGGTAGCACATGCCTATAATCCCAAAACTTGAGATGCTGTTTCTCCCCTCTGGGGGCAGAGCCTATGCTAACAACTCATTCAGCAGCCTTGCTCTGTGCAGAGGTTGATGGCAGTGTCTTCCTTTGTTGCTTTATCTATCTGTCTGTCTGTCTGTCTATCTATCTATCTATCTTCTGTCTATCATGTATCTATCATCTATCTATCTACCATCTATCTATCTATCTATCATCTATCTGTCTATCTATCATCTATCTGTCTATCTATGTATCATCTCTATATGTGTGTGTATAAAATCTTTTTCTCTCTACCATGAACTCATCATTCTGCTATCAAACAACTTCATGAGCTCTCAGATAATTCTTTAAATTTGAATCTCAAATATGTGAAAAAAACAAAACTAAACAAGGAACTGGCAATGTTTTTAAGACTTTTCATTATGCAATGCTGAGCTGTCCCGATTAAAGCTAGATTAAAACTCTCCCTAGGGGACTTTTATCTTCCTGTGGACCCCCAGGGACACAGCCTCTGCTCCTACCTGTCTCGTCCCACTGGGTTTGGGATTGAACAACACAGATATTCCTAGTGAGGGCTTTGCTATTTTCCAATCCTCTTTTTTTTTTTCTGGCAGGAAGAAACCATGTCTGTATGAGGAAACACGTGGGGTGTAAGCAAGTAGTAGTTCCAGAATGCTCGAAGATGACCACAGGTGTGTGTTTTGGCTTCCTCTCCCAATTTCCTATTTTACACACCTTGGAAATGTCGCTAGGTTGCGCTGCAAGTAGATGACTGAGTTTCAAAATAAACTTATAAGAGGGGCCAGGACAGCTAGGTCTGTGGTGTTTTCAGATATTCTTCCGTTATTGAATCCACCCATCCATCCATTTTACACCGAATCCCACAGTTAGTCAGAGATACTTATGACCCAGATTCTGCTCTCTAGGAGCGTACTGGCCCAATGAAGGAAGCACAGAGATAAAGGCGACAAACAGTTAATATACAAAAAGAACTGACTGTCCGTTATGGAGATAAACTCGAGGAAAACTTTCGGAGAGAAGATGGTGTCCAAGACAGGTTTTGAGACAACACTTTCCCTCACAGGAAGACAAAGGAGTGCAGGGAAACGCCGCGTAGAGGAGATGGTTTTTGCAAAGACACAGACAGTGTGAATGTGTGCCATGTCAGAGCCACAACGAGAGATCAGCTGAGGGACCTGGGGGGCACGCCAGGAAGAGCTTTGCGCGTCTTCTCAAAGAGCTTGGGTCTGATCTCCTTAGGGAAGGGGCCATTGAGGTTTCCAAGCGGAGGTAGATGGTCTTATCTATGCCTAGGATGGTGATTGACGCGGACAAGGCTGGAAGCCAGAAAAGTGAACGTGAAGTCATAGTTGGTTAAAGAGAGCGCAAAGAGACTCGCAGCAGGAGGTAAAATGGACAGGGATCGGTATTTAAGGTGTTGGGAATAAGGACAAAGCCACCCATACCCAAAGAAAAGTCTTACTCGGGCTACTGCTCTGGGGCCTCGGTGAGCTAGCAGCGCATCACGGCAGGGACAGGCGGCAGAGAAAACCACAGACTTTATCATCAGGGAGCAGCAAAAGGGAGAAAGAGGAAAAGGCAGAGGCCCAGACTCTGCTCCAAAGATGTAAAGACCACCGCAGGCTCCCGTGTCTTGAAGGGTCTTCACTTCCCAATAGTGCAGAAATGCCGATGAAGCATCGAACTCCCCGCCCCGGGGTCTTTGGAGGACCCTAAAGACCTGAAGTGGAGCAGGTGGCTCTGGCCCCCCGGGGGTTCTCTTTTTAAGGAGTTGGTGTCAGTGGGGGCTGGAATACAGTGGCGTTCTCTGTGTGCTGAGGCCCAAGCGCCTGTGGGCTGACCACCTGGAAATGCCCTGCATATTTAAAGCCTGTAGTCCAGAGACAAGGAAAGAGAGAGGGCTGAAGAGAGGAATTTGGATTCAGGGCATCAACTTTCTTTATTCTCCCTCCATTGCTGAGGTTACTAATTTCCCACAAATATCTGTTCTCTCCATTTTCCCCATCAGCAGCAGGAGTTGGGGCCGGGAAAGCATCTGCTCAGCCTCTACTGACCGACCAGCCTTCTTTATTGGGTGCCTTGTGTGACAAAGGAATGGCTATTTAATAATGGAAAACACTTAAAACAAGAACAAGAACAAAACAAAACAAAACTCCTGAGCTCTTAAATGGAAAAAAAGGAGACATAGCCCCAGTCAGCACCACGGAACAGTAGGGAAGGAGCAAATGCTGGCAGCTTAAAAAAGCCTTGCCTGGTTTGGCACAATGCTCCCGAATTTTGCGTTGAGATTGCTTTTCTTCAACGTCCTTTGTTCTTTTTCCGGTCAGCAGATTGAGATGGCGTTGGAGCCACAGCTTCTGATTCCCGTTTGACCAAGAGCAGGGCCTTTTGTGTATGGAGCCCATTCTTTAATATGCCACCTAAAGAATAACAGAGTGTCCGCCACCCTCCGGCCTTGTTCTATGCCAGAATGTCCACCCCGACACCGCCAGTCCCCACACCCGGTTCATCCGTTTTTGGTTCTTATGGCCGGTTCAGAATATCTAACTTGAAGTGGACAAAAATCAGTGCAACCTGGCACCATCAGCTGCCCCGAAGCACAGCTCTCCCTGCCCATCCTTCCTCTCCGTTTTGACCATAAGATGACGCGTAAAAAAATAAAATGGAAAGCAGAGATACTTACAAGACCAAGAGAGGGCAGAAAGCTGCTTAAGATATTGGTTTGAGTCCACAGGAGGGAAGCATAGGAGGAGGTGAGATAATGGGCTTATGGGCTACGTGATAAACGCAATAAACTCCCGGCGGGGAGGACAGTAAGGACCTCTGTGTGGGTTACTTGGTACCCTGCCTACACTCAGGAGAGAGTAAATTTTCAGCCACATCAAAGTCCTTCTCAAAAAAAAAAAACCCAGAAAACAAAACAAAAACCTCATTAAGAGTGCCATTTCTAGGGATCCTGTCAGCCAGACGATAAGAAACCTGAAAATAATCGCTTCTGTCTTGCCTGCTGCCCTCTCAGACACTGGCTGAGCTGTTGGCTGTGAGAACAAAGAATTTAAATTAAATTTCTCAGAAAGTGAACCGATTTAGCTAGCGTTGTGTTCAATCAACCAGGCACCTCCCGTAGCTTCAAAATGCATTATCTGGGTTATCTGTGAAATCCCTCCTTCAGCAAGGCTTCCATCCCACCCCACAGAGGTGCTCCCAGAATCCTTCACAGGTGCTCCAAACGTGATTAACTTGTGATGGGAAAAGGCCACTTACACCACCTTCCTCATTTGTCCTAGAACTGTGGCAATGGTGCTAACAGAATGCCAGAAAGCCCATTTTATTCATTTTGGAGCTCTCGTTTGGGTATAGCTTCTTGTTTATGGAGAAATGACAAAGGTGATCAAGTAGAATTCTCAATCACCCTTCACTCAGACTCCCCTGGTGAGACTTTGACATAGCTACGGGACATGTAAATGCTGCTAAATCTAAGCATTTGCATCAGCACAACACTGTTAGCTGAACTACAGACGTCTTACATTTCACACTGATGGTCTTTTCACGGTTTCAGAATTCAAGTCTGGGTATTGCGCCATACTTAGATCTCACACTGCGATGCTTCTGGTACAAAGGTCAGTGACTGACAGGTGCTCAGTATCTCCTCTCTGAGGGAGCAACCTGGAGAAGCCTACTGGGATCCAATAGTCGGATACCTGGAGAGACTAGGATGGCAGTATGGGATGGGATCGGTCTGTACCCCTCTCCTGCAGACTCCCGCTGACTTTACCTCAGCAGCTCCAGAGCAGGCATGAGGGGGCACAGACGGCTTCATGGGGTGAAGACTGGACACAGGAGAGAGAGAGAGAGAGAGAGAGAGGCTTCTAGCGGCTTCTAGTTATGACAGCGAAGGCAGAGGCACAGTCAGGGAGAGTAAACCTATGTGAATAGTTCCGGAAAAGGAACGGCAAACTGGCTTCTAGACTGAGAAAGGAGGAAACTGTAAGGGAGGGGCGGGCGAGCTGTGAGGACCCCGAGAAGAAGAGATGGTGGCTGATGAGATGCCTGAGCTAACACAGGGCGAAGTCCGATCTGGAGCATGTGCAGAAAGTCTGCTGTTGGAAAGGAGGAAAAAAGAAATCTCAGTGAGATCAGAAGAAAGGAGGGGCTGGTGGATGAATGCCATTTATGCTTTCCCTCAGTTTCCCTGTCTTCTTCCTTCAGACTTGATGGTCATTGGCTTTTCAAGAAAGTCAGCATGAGAGAAGTAGTGTTGGGCTGTAATTGGGTTTGCAGAGACCGATAAGGGCTGTTGGGAGAGGTGCTATGGGTTAAGCATGAAGAAGTCAACCAAGCCTGAAATAAATGAAAAGAATGACTGTTATTGAGAGCCCAGAGATAATCAGGTTATTAGATTTGGGGGTTTGGAGCGAATAACACATTGGTGCCACTCTCAGGCTGCCAGACTCCCTGAGGACGTGCAAGCCTTTTAAGATTAACTTTTCCATTTCTGTTCCTATTACAACATTATTGGTCAAATTATTTATCTTGTCTCAGAATTAAGTAATGGGCTCCACTGAACTCAATAACTGTTACTCTTCATTGGGAATTCATGGAGTAACCTGGATGTCTTAATAATGGAAAAATTTCAACTTCGTTTATAGTGAGTGATTCCAGCAACACTTATCCCCATAAAAACAGTAACTAGAATTGGAATCTTTATGTATAACCAATGATCTGTACTCCAGCAGCCCTTATAAACTTGAGTTTTCAAGGATCTGTGTTGCAGTCCTCTGCCAGACAATTTGTACATGTCTACAAGACTCCCCAGTTTCAGATGTAGGAGCTGAGTCTCAGGGAGATTCGTTCTTCCAACAAATATTAAGCATCCTGCCTGCACCAAGTTTCATCTGCAGCAACTGTGATATGTCACTGTATAAACAAGGCCAAGCTCTCTGACCCCCACAGCCATATTTCAGCAGGAAATGTTTAAGTGCATAAGTGATCTGCTGAACGCACCCAGATGACAGCCACTGAAGAGGCCTTTCTTTACTTGTTTTCAGCTGCCTTGAACCCATTCCATCTCGTACGGTAATCCGTCTTATTTTTGACAGGGGTGGAATTTTCTACTTTCTGCATTTGGTGCAGCTTTGTAGGACTGTTTGCCGATGTGTCCTGATTTTGCAAAGCAGGACTAAATAAATGCATGACTTGTCCTGATGAGACCCATTGCTCCTGTCCTGAAATCTGAAACCAAAAGATCATTGAAACTCATTCATCCTTTTGGTTGCCTGAAGATGGTCTTAGGTAAGATGCTCTGGTGAATTTTATCTTTTGAGGTGTGGTTGGCCAGCACTCCCTTTTAATTCTGAGAGTCCCTCCATAAACATTGTATCACCGAAGCCACCACCACCATCATCATCATCATCACCATCATCATCATCATCACCATCATCATCATCATCACCACCACCACTGTCATCACTACCTTTGCTTTTGCTTTCTGTAGCTTTATTCTTCTTGACTTATCAGCCAGAAACCTGTATTTGTCTGATCCTAAAATCTATCCTTCAATTACTCTGACGTCTGTCCCACAACACATAGAGATTATTGAGAGGTAGCTTCAAGTTTTTTGTTTTTGTTTTGTTTTGCTTACCATGCACATCCTGACTTGAGGGTTTCTTAAATGTAAAGAGATCTCTGCAAACTTACGTGTTCTTGATTTGAACATTACTTAGAGAGGATAAATCCTGATTTATTTCTCTGGGAATGCAGAACATATTAGACAGAGTATCAGATTGCCTTTTTCCCAATTGGTTGTCCTATTATCCTGAAGTACATGTGGTTGGCATGACATCATTTAAGCTCCATGAGTCTAGCTGGCCATTCTTACCATGGTTGGTGTCTTGTACTAACAGGCCATCACTATGGAGAAGCAGACATCTCTGTTGCTTATAGGGCTCATCCTTTACTTGTGGAGACATAGAAACATTATTTTTAGCTCCTTGCAGGGCTGTGATACTGTATAAACATGAGGACACTACTCATGATAAGCATCCTGAGTGGCACTCTCAGAGTCAGAAAAAGAACTTTGACTCATGGTGGGGGACTGACTTCTTGTTCACTCCTTCCTGCTTGGTGAATACTCTTAGATGCTACTGAGATTTCAGCCTAGACTTCTGCTCATGTTCCTTCCCTCACATCGTTTAGAGTTTCAGACCAAGAAACTTGCTCTATACTCTAGGTTCTGTTTTTCTTTCCAATATGCCATGAGCTAAGTCCTGGACATGCCTAATGTTACTGGATTTTCTTTTCCCTACCAAGTCCTGTTGCCACTTCAGCTCCAAATAAACACACAGAGACTTATATTAATTATAAAACTGTTGGCAGATGACTAGGGCTTCTTATTGCCTAGCTCTGTCTTAATTATTAACCCATTTCTATAAATCTATATATTTCCATGTGGTCTTGGCTTACCAGAGAATGTCTGGACCTGTTTCTCCTTTGGCAGCTACATGGCATCTCTTTTCTGTGCCTCTCTGCCTCCCTTTCCCAGAATTCTCCTCATCTCTTAGTCCTGCCTATCTTCCTGTCTGTATTGGTCAAACAGTCTTTTATTCATCAACCAATAAGAGAAACATATATACAGAAGGACCTCCCCCATCAGCCTAACGTGAGTAGGGACCCCTTTGAGTCTTCATGCCTTGCCTGATCAATATTTCACACTGTCCTTTCTCTCTCTCTCTCTCTCTCTCTCTCTCTCTCTCTCTCTCTCTCTCTCTCTCTCTCTGTGTGTGTGTGTGTGTGTGTGTGTGTTTGTCTCTCTCTGTATTGGAAGCCACCAAGAAGCTTTGCTTAACCATTCTCTATAGGTCAAGTCCACTTTTAAATAGGTGGAGTTCAGTCCAAGGATGCAAATGAATGACTACTTCCTCAAATGTTCAAATGCTCTCAAGTTATGCTTCCCATGAACACTTTATAAACAAAGTATCTTTGGTCTGCTTGCCTTGACTACTACACCCTTCATATAGCTCTTTCACACAATGGGACCAGTCCTCACTTGATTTTCTGACTTCTTTGCTCTTCTCATTCTTTCCCATACAAAATATGGGAAAGACATGAGCTTAGGTATCTCAGCTCATATGCACAGATTGCTCCCACATTTCTACAAATGGTTCCCTTTTGGCCATTATTGGGCTTAAAGGTGTTCACAAATTTCATTGGTTTTATGAGGAAGGGCCCATGTGAGAGGTCTCCTTTGGATAAAGAAATGGGACCTAGACTACCTATGGTTTTTGAGACAGAATTTACATGAGATCTGGGGATCCAGCTCTTGTGTGGCAGGTGCTGTACTGACTGAGCTGTCCCACTGGGCCCTCTAATTCATATCTTTAAAGCGAAGCATCTAAATTGGTGTACTTAAATGGTAGTTGGAAACATTTGTGTCTACCAAGGGTAAAATGAGTGTTAGTAATAATAGCATAATAGTGTACTTATTATAAGTTAACCATATATTTAAATATAGTGGATATATGTCAAAGTTATCTCAAAGGAACATGCAGAAGCTTAAAAGCTGTTTACAAAGGGCAGGGGTGTAGCTCAGGGGTGGTGGAGAGCACATACAGGGTGACGGCTTTAGTCTCCAATACCACACAGAACTTTTTAAAACACAAGAATGCCATAACTAAACCTGGGCAATACCAACAGTAGTTTGGAGACAATTTGGCAGATATATAGTATAGTTCAGTATCTTTATTACAGAGAGTAAGTCATGTAAAAGCTGTCATCTGATGATGGAAGGAGGTGGCCAGCACTTTCCTCTCTCTCTCTCTCTCTCTCTCTCTCTCTCTCTCTCTCTCTCTCTCTCTCTCTGTCTGTCTCCTTTCACGGTGGTCAGGAGCAGGGTTGTGTGAGAGATGACCCCGGTATATTTCCTGTGCTGTAGGTTTTAGTATAAGGCACCAATTGTCTTTTCTTACTTGACTTTCTCTCAGAACTAAAAAATTCTTTTCTTTTGTTTCCTTTGCAAAGTGCCAGTTTGATCTCTCTCCTTCTCT